ATACAGTAAAGTGCACGTTGTTTAATCCAGGAGCCTCCTGTCATTAAACTACTGACTGACTCTCCTATAACACATTAAACCAAACTGGCCGTGTAAGTCTTTACCAGCATAGAGGATGGTGGCAGAAAATTTACCAGATAGATTTTGCAACATTATAAGCTGTGGTAAGGATTCAAGTTTCAACTGCCAGCATTCTCCAAATTAAATCCTCCTGGGTCTTTTTAATATTTTAAAAATACTTTAGTACTGGTTCGTGACTTCCATAAGTAGTGTAAATCTTTATTTCAATTGACAATGACATAGGATCATAGATTCTGGAAGATGAAGATAGACTGAGTAATGCAGCCCCATTGCCACTCCCTTAACAATTCCATTTTGACACGATATCTAACAATATGCCTCTTTGAGTACAGATGCCTATTGTTAAACCATGTACAATTGAATTGGTTCATTTTGCTGTTCATGTATAATTCAAATGTATTTTTAAAACCTGCCAGTTCAAAGAGTATTTATTTTTAATATATCTATGGTACTTAAATTGAGTTGTATTTAAAAATGCAAATGTTGCAAAATTTTCTTTGATTATGAACAGAAGAAGTGTTAAGATACTGTTTGAGCACACCATTCTTAATCCATTTCTTAATTGTTATAAATTTGCTAACATGGACTTAACTGCACAAACCAAGATAGTCCCAAACATAAATAGCAATCTGAACTGAGTTGGTTTCTTTCAACTAGGAAATATTTAGGGATTTCCAGTTAACCTCAGGCTAGGGGTATCAGCCAAGGTCATGATCTTTATATGATGACATCAGCTGGAAAGTACCATGTATGGCTAATGGTTGTCAACAGCATCAGGCTGCAATGTAATGATTCCTATGTTTGAAAATCCACTGATGATAATTGCTGAAGCTTGTATATGAAGGCTGTCCACTTGAGGAAAATACCACAGATTACTGATACCTATGAATCTGTACTTCGGCAAGAATCAAAGACCTCATCTGGGAAGATTAATAATAAAATGAAAGAAGTGACATTTAGTCACAATAATTGATAAATAAAAAAAAAATTTGAATATATGATGCAAGATGATGCACAGGGAAAAACCATAAAGCATTTGTTTGAATAATCAAATAATTTTCAGCATTTTCATTTTATAAACATGCCTATCTGCTTTAGTTGCAATATAATAATAACAGCAACTCGATTTTTTTATTATACCTTCAATTTAAAACAATTCCCAGGAATCAAAAGGCAGTTTAAATTGAGAGAGAGTCCAAAAATTTGTCACGTAGAGAGAGCTGCGTGTTCTTGTGCATGAAACACAAAAAGTTAACGCGCAGATACAGCAAATAACTAAGAAAGCAAATGGAATATTGGCTTTTGTTGCTAATGGATTGGAATTTTAAAATAGTGCAGGTTTGTTACAACTGTACAGGATATTGGTGAGGCCACTCCTTGAGTACTGTGTACAGTGTTGGCCTCAATACTCAAGAAAAGATGGACTGGCACTAGAGGCAGTTTTAAAAAGATTCACTGGGCTGATTCCTGGGAGGAAGGGCCTCTACAAAAAATCTGTAAAATTTTAGCCATCTCAACAACTTAGTCAAAGAAGTGAGTTTCAACAATGGTATTAAGGAAGGACGGGTGGAAGATTTTTAAAAAGTGAACTCCAGAGCTTAAAACCTTGACAGCTGAAGGTAAAATTTCCAATAGTATGTCACAGAACAGGAAATGAATAAGAGGACATAATTTGGAAATGCAGAGTTCTCAAGTAGTTTTAGTGTCGAGGAATGCTAGAAATTTAGAGAGAAGTAAGGCCATGATGAAATTTGGACTCAAAAATTAGATTTTAATGTTTGAATATTGCATTTTTTTCTAAGCATTTTGCTTTGTACTAATCAGAAAATTTCACAAGAATACCACTTTAAGGAGAAAACCAACATTGATGCTGCATGAGAGGAGAAATGTTGAACTATTTGCAAGTGAATACTGATTGGAAGAGGCTTGGCATGGAAAACGTACCAGCCAATGATAATTGATAGTCATTCTCCTAACTACCTATGTCAAACTTTCGCAAACTAATTAAACATGTCATCAACTTTCAAATTGCTGCCCATCCCTCCTGGAACTCTGAAATAAATCTTTAGAGTCTGGCATCCCATCACTAATTACACTTTATTCACAAATGCATAGCTTTTGACAATAGCACTGAGTCAGGCCTTCAGAGTAACAATTTCCCTGACATTTATCCTTTAATGTCAGCAAGGTCTCCCTGACTGTACAATATTAACAGCTGCAATCAGGGAACTCATATTGTATGAGGTCTAGCCGCTGACCTCATTACAATCATTATGATCTCCATGTCTGAATCCCTTTCATCAGGTTTCAAACTCTGTCACAATACTGAAATGGCTCTTATCAAAATCACACACACAGGTTGTGGGGAGACAGTGACACAGTGGTATTGTGATCAGACTGGTCTTCCAATATAATGCTGGTCTCAGTGGTGGTGACTATCATTGATTGTTGCAATGCCACATCTGGTTCACTATTGTCCTTTAGAAAAGGAAATCTGCCATCCTTACCCAGTCTGCCCTAGATATGACTTGAAACCCATAGCAATGTGGTTGACTCCTAACTGCATTTTGAAATGGCCCAGCGAGCCATTCAGTTCAAGGGCAACTAGGGAAGTACATCCAATGCTAACATTGCCAGCGATGTCCACAGCCCATGAAAGTATCAAGAACAAAAATCTGTGACCATAATAAAAGTAAAGTACCTCTCTCATCCTTCTCAGTCTGTCTGCTGCCTTTGATACGGTTCACCACACCACCCTCTAATGCTTCTTCACCAGTTGAAGCACATTTGCATGGTTCCATTCTATTCAATCTAATCATTACCATAGAATGATTTAGATTCCCTTCCCATCTGCACATCCTTACCTCTGGTGACTGCAAAGATGTCCCCCTCTTATTTCCCACCTATGTGATGCCCCTCAGCAACATCATCAGAAAACAAAAACAGAAAGAACTGTGGATCAGTTTCCACGTTTGTTCCGGCTTCAGCTCTACCTCACCATCACACCTCTGACACTTCCACCACCTGATTTCACCTGACGAAGGAGCAGCGCTCCGAAAGCTTGTGATTTCAAATAAACCTGTTGGACGATAATTTAGTGTTGTGTGACTTCAGACTTTGTCCACCCCAGTCCAACACTGGCACCTCCACATCTAAATTCTTGCATAGTTTGTTTTACACTCAGTTCTGGATGAGTAAAAAATTTCTCCAACTAAACAAATGAAAGACTCAAAGCATTGCCTTCTGTCCTAGCCATTAACACCATTCTTCTTTCTCACAACTGTCTGAGGCCGAACATAACTGCTTACATAACATCGTAGCCTATTTGACCCTGAGGTAGCCTTACATCACAAAGGCTATTTATTTCCACCCTGTATCATTGTTGACCCTGTTTCTGCTTATCTGCTGCTGAAATTCTCATCAATGACTTTGTTATTTTCCAAACCTGACTATTCCAAAATACTCCTAGCCTTCCACCATCTACAAATCTGTGGTCATCTAAATTCTGCTACCATGACCTAACTCACCACCAAATCACATTACCCAACATTTCTGTCATTCTGCTCACTGACTTGTATTGGTTTCCAGTTAGGTAACATTTCAATTTCAAAACTTCCATCCTTATTTTCAACCCCCTCCAGTGGACTCATCCCCTTCTATTCTGAATTTCCTCCAGCCGAATGACCCCACAGATAACAAAAAGAGAAATTGATAGAGAAACTCAGCAGGTCTGGCAGCATTTGTGTAAAGAAAACAGAGTTAATGTTTTGAGCCCAGTGTCCTTGTAACATTTCTGCACCCTCTGATTCTGGCCTCCTGTACATTCCTGATTTTAGTCTTTCTTTCACTGGAATCCAGGTTCTCATCAACAAGTTTCCTTTCTAGATCTCTCTGCTTCTTTCCCCCTTTTTCCAAATTTCAAACAATTGTCAAAACCTGCCTTTATGACCAAGCCTTTGGTTATCTGCCCTAATGTTCCTCACATGCTCAAGTGTCAAATGTTGTTTGATAATGTTCCTGTAAAGTGCCTGGGACATTTTATTATGTTAAAGGTGCTACATGAATGCAAGGTATTGCTGAAAACTCCAGAGTGAGGTTTTAACCTGCAACCTCTCACAACGTGGCATAAGTGTTATCATTAATAAGACTGACACCAACATGTGCTAATGGAACAATAATGTGTTTACCAGTCATTAGGAACACTTTACACTCACATCCTAAATCAACATGTGACACACGACAGATGTCACACCAGACAATTAAGAACATCATTCTTTCTTCAAAGATTGCTTAGTGATTAGTCACTTACTTCTACCAAATATCAAAGATCATAGCTCCCTTAATTTTCACCATGGAACATTAGCATACTACAGTTCAATATCTATTGAGAACACTTTTATTTTAGCAGGGATATTAGTCCATTTCAGGTTGATGCTCTACTACAATACGAAACAAGAATTTCCTATAATCTGGTAGCTCATGGCTATTTCAGACCCAATTTTTACTTTATTGAGTTGATTGTTTCAAAATATTTGTTTGAAATATACGTTTTCTATGTTCATCAACAGTTGGAGTGGGATTAAAATGATATGAAAGTAAATTTTCAAGTGATGGTACTCCTCCCACAATGGCAAAGAATCACTTTTCCTTGCGGGTTGAAAACAGGGAAGTGGGCTTGTTTGGGAGTTGAGATTAGGATAAAGTGAGAGAATGAGAATAGACTGGCCATCAGAAGTATAATATTGGAGCAATGTTAACATTAAACTCAAGGGTTAAGAAAACCTGGACCTTAATTGCATCAAATATTTATGTGTATTCATACTTATGATACCTTGGCTGTGCAATATTTATTGTTTATGTTTATTGAATTAAGGTGAAAATGCCACTGGTTCTCCAAAGTTTATCATTTTTCTTACCAGCTCTCTCTACAAAGGTCAAGCAGCTTCAAGCACTTTGAACGCTCAAAGCCTCCATCATCACCATTGGTTACTGAACAAGACCTCAATTTTAATGAAAATGTAAGTCCAGTGAATAACTTGTGATCTTATTTTAACAAAATAGAAGGTAGGTTCCCTTGAATATTCTACATACAGCAGTCTTTCCTTTTCCTTCACCTCACTTTTTAATCTTGTCTCTCTTCCTGCATTTTCTATACACAGCAACTCATGAAAGCACGGATTTAAGCCCATTCATAATCCATATCATTTTATTAGTTGAATAGACCATTTTTATAATTTTTCATAACTAGAAAAATACTACAAGTGAGTTTCTGTGATGTTGCTGACGTGAGTTACGAAATACAAATGCTATCTCTAATGGAAATAGTCATAGATTCAAAATGTTTTATTTGATATTAATTACGAACAAATTAAAACATTCACATGAAATAAATTTGACTGCTTTTTACAAGGATGGTTATCTGTTTGAAAATAAATAGTTTAATGTCTTGTTGGAAATGTAGACAAAATAATTTCATGCAACTACAGTAGTATGTTTATCATTGTATCAAAATAGATCCAGTTGACCAGACATTGATTTACTTACAGGTGGGAATGACTGACACCAGGGAGCCTAACACAGAAGAAACCCCCAAATCTGGAAACAGACTTGGAAAGAAATGGCGAGCAGTTATTTCACGAACTATGAATAGGAAAACTGGTCGAATGATGGTGAAAGCTTTGGCAGAAGAAAGGGTAAGAACTACTTCTGGGTTCCACATTGTCGCCACAAATGTTCTTTTGAGTTGCAATACTTTTCATAGAAAATTTGTAAAATAGAAGGTGGCTTTTTGGCCCATCACAGCATGCTAGTCAAATGGTAACACAGTTGCACTCATTTGAACTATGAATTCATGATTTCTTGCATCTGAATCACTGAAGTTTCCCAAGTGACCATGGTACGCCTGGACCAACTAGTCACAAATTAGTGTTGCAGTGTAAGTGCCTCTGTAAGAACTACAATCCTGGACCGGATATTAAGCTGGCAGAGTAAGGTCACACAACATTTAAGACTGTGCACAACAGAGTAATGTTTGAAAAAGAACACATTTTAATTGTTTTGCACTTGTTAAAATCACGTTGATTCACTGAATGTTATAGATAGTCATAATCTTTGATGCAAGAACCAGCTGTACCATCTCTGGCAGGGATGGGGCACTATGACTGCCTCGATGGTGAGTGTATCCCCTGAAGTTGCAATGGCAACGAGCACAGTTTTTTAAAAAAAAGTGAGCAGGATGATATTGGTAGTAAACAACAGAATTTCAAACAAGTGACAATCTTCATGCATACTAAACTTCAAAACAACAAATTTAACAAAAAGTTTATTGTTATATTGGTATGCGTAGATCTCATTGGAAACATCTGATACCTCACATCTATCTCGAACAAGGCTTGCTACTTTAGGGAAGACGGCACACGTAGGAAGCATTTTTATAGAATCAGATATCCTACAGCGATCAATTTAGTTAACTCTAGAAGTTTTTAATTGGATTATTCTGAGGAATATCTAGGAACTGAACCTTCTCAATGATTAATTAATGGGAAGATAATGGAATGATTTTCAAGTCTTTAAAGACACTACCACCAACCTGTGGAAATGAGATGCTAGTGTTTTTAAAGGGTAAGTACCATTTCCAATCTTGCCCCAAATAGCTGTGTACTTAGCATTACTTTGTCAATGTTCTGTCTCTGTGGGACAAAGGCAGCCACAATTCATCTGTTTGGCCCATTTAATAAGAAAATTGGAGTTCTGTTACACTCAATCGAGGTGCCCTAAATCACAGTGTACAAGATGACCGTTGAAACTTCAACTCTTCAAAAAAACAGGTGTTGTTTTATACATCAAGAACAAAACATAAAGCCCTAGTGTTGGTGCAAGCAGTCTTCATGTGAGAAATGTGAGAAAAAGAAGCCTAACACCCATAATTCAAATTAAATCGCCATAACCTATATTTTAATGAATGAATTGATTCGACAAGCATTGCTTTAACCACAATGAAAATGTTTTCACATTCAGGCTTTGGCGTCTGACACAGACATCACCAGACACAGTCTGAGTGACTTTGGTTATAGCATTAGTGTAAGGATCCCACTCTGGATCAGATTTAATTCTGAATTTCAGAATCATCCCCCACAAGAAAACATCATCTGGAAAAGCTGAACAGGCTATTCTGCAGTTTTTTTCAATTATCTGATGACACTTCATGCGTTAATGGCACCCCATGATCTGATGAGACAATGACGCATAATATCCAATAGGGAGCACATGTATTTCCACACTTTGTCAGGGATCTTTCTTGAATAACCACTCACCCATTCCATTAAGCACAAATTTGATTCTTAAATGGCTCAATGAGGCACACATCCAAAAATTAAACATTAGATGTGCTTCCCACACATTTTTCCACTATGACCCCATAATGAGGCTTGAAAATTGTCACAATTCCTTTGTGAGAACTGTGAAAGAGGGGGTGAGGCTTGTGGGAAGAACTTTGAGGGCAAGGGGCAGTAGATCTGTATGAGTGAGTACTAGCAAGCATAGATGTAAGGCAGCCATTGCTTCCTCTGAGCTTATGGCTGCACTTGGGGTCCCAGCCCATTCTTGGGAAGCCCCTATTTCAATACAAGTATCTCTTAATTTTATGGGATCAGAACATGTGGACACCAAAAATCTCGACTCTTTGTGTGGCTACCTGGATGACTGTGCCATGTAATATTATTATAAAGGCATAGTGTTTTTGGAATTGAATTTTTAAGGATTATGGAAAAATCAATTTATTTCAAGTCCTGTACAGATACTTGTTTTTATTTTAGAAGGCGATCAATTAAAGATGCATTGAAACATGTTGTAGTTTTTAAAAAAGTCACTTCAGGGAATTGACATGACTTCAGGTAATGTAGAAATCAGTTGCTTGGATTTTATCGCTGTTTTGTTTGAAGAATGTTTTGCTCGTAGATTGTATGGTTTCCAGTCGCTGAAAAAACCTGTTGAGGAATGGCTGTCCAGTTCATCTCTTTCACGTTTTTGAAACACCCTTGTGGTGAATCCATTGTGAGACCTGCCCTCGTGAAAAGCAACTAGAAGTCTTCTCAATTCTATGTTTCCTGAGCAAGCTGCATCTGCAAAGACTCCACAGACAACTGCACACGCCTACAATCTGCCCTCTTGTTCCAGAATGCCAAATTGACAGCCATCTGAATGTTATATACCTTATTCAGTTTGTCCTTCAAGAACTAATCATTATTGGCCAAAAGTTCTTTTTCTACCAAAGTGAACATCTACAGAAAGAACTCCATATCTGTCTCATTTAGTCATGTATGTTTTGAGTATTTAAATGGGTAAACATTGATATTTTCATATTACAAACTGTGTGACCAGTTTTCCAATTTTATTCAGTGAGTTTTGTTTTCTAATAAATCTTGTTAATATTTATTAAAGAAGCCTGGTTGATTAATCTATCTACTCTATGTCTGATAGGGAAAGAATATGTCTGGCTATATCAGGAACTAGGTAAAATAATTAATTCATAGTGTGATCCATGAATGAGTGGGCTGACAGAGAGAGAGTGAGAGAGAGTGAGAGACAGAACAAGAACTCAGAGGGCACTTGATTTTCTCATTTCTTCCTTCAGAGTGAAAGTGGTGAAGAAAGCCCCATGTCTCCCATGACGCCTGATGAGCTTACGTATCTGCGACTAGGAGATGGTATGTCACACTCACCCAGTGAATCAGAAGAGAATCTCAACAGTCCACTCAGCAGACAGGCTTCAAGCAGTAAGTAACAACAATAAATAATACAGACAACAGACTGAGAACTATAAAATTGTGCGAAAGAAACTTATGAATATTTCCTTCAAGTCATATTGGATTGTTGTTTACAAAGGTTGCTATACTGAAAATTCACTGAACATAACTTTACTAAAACTGAGCCAAAAATGAATTATTGAAACTTGGTCTTTAGAGAAAGACTTTAGAAATGATTAATAATTTTACATGGAAGCAAATAAATGTTTCATAAATATGATTTAGATTCAGAATCAAATTAATGATTGTAAGACCCACCTCAGTTGATCCTTAGCTTTTGTATAACAACTTGAAATTTTATTGAAATTGTAAGTTGTCTATGTTCTTTATTTTTAAATCTAGTATCTGTTTCAAAATATGATAAATTCATGAAATTCAATCCCATTTATATCGAGCAAGTGATTTCAGGAAGATGTGATAATCTTATTACCCCAAAACATTTACATGAGAGAAAATCCTGGCCTACCGTATGTAAACATCTGGAGAGCTGATTCCAAAGTACATTCTATGTTGTTATAAATTTAAAAAGTTGAAGGTTTGAATTGGTGACCAGTTATACATTGATTTTTCTTCAAAGATTCTGTTCAGCAAGGTAAATTTTACAAATTTAGGGTCTCGCCTTCAAAATTCTCAGATATAGCAGTTCCAAAATAAATCCCTATAAGTAGTCCACACATTTTAATTTCATGATGCTCCCACTCAATATCTCACAATACAATAACAGTGCGTGACTGAAGTGAAGATTTATGCTCTGAACCTATAAGTCATGTCTCCCACATTTGTTCCATAATTAATCAATGTAATCCACCCTCTGCACATTTGATTTCTTGGCAGGCATCCACTGGATGGGTTAACTTCCAGCTTTGAGAGGCTCTGGGTGTAGAAGATGTCCCCACCCTTGTAAATTTTTGCTCTATGTCTCTATTAAGGAAATAAATAAACTAATTGTATTTATATCCAGAGATAGTAGGAACTGCCAATGCTGGAGGATCTGAGATAACAAGGTGTAGAGCTGGATGAACACAGCAGCATCAGAGGAGCAGGAAAGCTGACGTTCCGGGTCTAAGACAACAAGGTGCAGAGCTGGATGAACACAGCAGGCCAAGCAGCATCATAGGAGCAGAAAGGCTGACATTCCGGGTCTAGACCCTTCCTCAGAAAAAAAAGGGTCTAGACCCGAAACGTCAGCTTTCCTGCTTCTCTGATGCTGCCTGACCTGCTATGTTCATCCAGCTCTACACCTTGTTATCTCGTATTTATATCCATGTGTCTATGACTTAAAGACATCAGAATGAATGTTAACAAAAGCCCAGGAGACAGGCTATAACATGCAGCAGCCAGTAAAATTGCAGGGACTCAAGTTAAATTACAGGCATCCGAAGTAGATTGGCTGTCCACTCTGAAGGAACAAAACAGAAAATGTTGGAGAACCTGAACAGGTCTGGAAGCATTTGTGGAAAGAGAAACAGAGTTAATGTTGAGTCTGGTATGATTCTTCTTCAGAAAGGAAAGGTGTTGGAAAACAGCTTTTTTTATAATTTTGACAGACTCAAAGAAAGAGCAACATGTCAGATGATATAGGGGCCTAGCGCAAAAGTCAAAGTTAGCGTTAATAGTGGAGAAAGAAACAGATGTAAAAAGGATGTAAATGAAAATGTGAATGGGAGAGAATTGGTCCTTTTGATTAAATACAAAAGAAACAAAACACAAACACAACATGACTGTGAGGGAAGGGCAAGACTGTAAGAAGAATAGGGAACAGATATAATGTGGTCAGTTTCTGAATCTATTGAATTCAATATTGAGATCTCAAGGCTAAAATGCCTAAGTTGAAAATGAGCTGTTGGTCCTTGAGCTTCTGTTGTGCTTTGTTCGAACATTGCAGTCGGCCCAAAGACAGAAATGTTAGCATCAGAGCAAGGTCGTTTATTGAAATGCAAAGTAACTGGGAGGGCAGGGTCATTCCTATGGACAGAATGGCGAGGTTCCGCATAACAGTCACCCAGTCTGCACTTAATGTCTCTACATAGAGGAGACTGAAATGTAAGCAGTGAATGTAATAGACTAAATTAAAAGAGGTACAAGTGAAACATTGCTTCACCTAGAAGGTGTGTCTGAGGCTTTGGATAGTAAGGTGAATGGGCAACTGTTACAACTCCTGTGATTGAATTGGAAGGAGTAACGGGGAAGTAAGGAAGCATTCGGAGTAATGGAGGAGTGGACCAGGGTGTCAGAGGAAATATGCTGACAGTAGCAGAGAGGGGAAAATGTTTTTGGTGGTGACATCCTGCTGGATGTAGCAGATATACCAGAGGATTATCCTTTGAATGTAGGTGTAGTGGGGTGGCAAGTGAGGACAACTGGAACCTGTCATTTTTCTGGGAAGGTGGGGAAGTGCTGAGGACAGAAATATCGAGGATGGGTTGCACATGGCAGAAGGTCCTGGCAACCGCAATGTTGGGGGATTCCTCCGTTGAGGTAAGAGGCTGCGATGTCAGAAGCAGCCCAGTGGAAATTGGCATCATCAGAATAGATGTAACGGAGACAGAGATTTCTTCTCACTATGTGGAGAGGACACCAGCTATATTTTTTTAATTCACTTGTTGGATGTGGGTATTGCTGATTGGCCATTAATTATTACCCATCCCTAGTTGCCTTTGACAAGGTGGTAGTAAGCTATCTTTTTGAACTGGTGCAATTCACATGCTGTAGGTTGACCCACAATGCTGCTATGGAGGGAATTCTAGGATTTTGACCCAGCAACAGTGAAGGAATGGTGATATATTTCCAAGTCAGGATGGTGAGTGGCTTGGAGGAAGTGGTGTTCCCATATATCTGCTGCCCTAGTACCTCTAGATGGAAGTGGTTGAGATTTTGGAAGGTGTTGTCTAAGGATATTTGGTGAATTTCTGCAGTGCATCTTGTAGATGGTTTATACTGTTCCAAACAGCATTAGAGCTAGATGGAGTGGATGCTTGTGAATGTGGTGCTAATCAAGTCTGCATTGTCCTAGATGATGCCAAACTTCTTGAAATAACAAGGTATAGAGCTGGATGAACACAGCAGGCCAAGCAGCATCAGAGGAGCAGGAAGGCTGACGTTTCGGGCCTAGACCCTTCTTCAG